GGGTAATTGTGCTGCAGAGAAAATAGCTGCATTATTTAATAGCAGAGACATGTAAATACTTTGCATTACATTTTGAATCCACTACCTTAAAAGAGCTCCAGTTTACAGACAGAAATGTCAAAAATGTTACAACTATCCCCGATCTCCCCTACTCATATTTTGTTTTTTTAAATACATAACGCCGGTACATGTATTCTGTTACTTCCCAACACTGGTACTTAGTCACCACATTTCAGTGTCCTTGGGGTTACATTTATCTTAAGGTGTGCCAAATTACAGTCTTAAGCAGCTGCTGAAAGCTGATGACTTTTTGGCTCAAATGGTTTGCTTTGTTTGGACTGACAGTTTGAATTTACTTTTGTGCTGCTACTGTGATGGTTTTCATCTATGATGTACACAACACTTGCTTCTCCAGTCGTATATTTATTTTTTCATCATATTAACTTATAAAATTTCTCTGTTATTAATTTAGTGTGAATTTGTTGATCATTTTTTTTCTATTTCTTCTATCCATTCTTACTCCTCCTGTCCTCTCCATTCATCTCTCTCCCGCCTTCCTTCTCTCCAGTTCTTCCATCAGTGTCTCTTCTCCAGAAGACTCCCTCCTCTCCAGTCACATGCCATGCTACAGGTTTCTATCCTGGCAAAGCCGTGATGTTCTGGAGGAAAGATGGAAATGAGATTCATGAAAATGTGTACCACACAGATGTACTCCCCAACGATGATGAGACCTTCCAGATGACCGTCAGTCTGAATGTTTTATCAGTCACAACTGATGACTGGCGAAGATACGAATGTGTGTTTCAGCTTTCTGATCCAAGCAGTGCCATCGTCACAATGTTAGACAAAGCATTGATCAAGACCAACTGGAGTAAGAGCAGTTAATTTAAAAAACACTGATCAGATTACGTGAGCCCATTCCTAACATAGCATAATAGAGGTGACTGTAGAGATAACATGTCACAAGTCAATGTCTTCAGCCTGTGCTGCACTCGCGATGTTAGAAAGATTAAAAGGTGCTGAAATTATAATAATGTCAGCTATCACCACACACACACACACACACACACCCTCCACATCTTCTCGATTTCTTCTTTCAGCCCTTGGTACTCCATCCTCTAATGTTCCTTCTTCATATTGCTGTCATTCGGTGTAGCTGCCCCTTTCACTATGACCATCTTCCTCTGCTTGTACACCACTACTATGTCCAGTTGGTTAGCCATCACCAGTTTGTCTGTATGTATCTGGAAGACCCAAAGAATCTTAGCTCTGCCATTTTTGACCACCCTAGGGCGCACGTGTGTCACAGCTGCGGCAGCAAATCCGGAGTCCAACCGCGCAGAAGGCAGTGGCGGCGACACAGGCGAAACAAATCCAAAGGCCAACCGCACGGAAGGCAGCGGTGGCAACACCGTTCAGGGGACATGAAACAGGCTGGAACTGCGCAGCTCATTGGCTCTCCTCAGTCAGTGGCAGCAGGGTGCAGTCCTCAGCTGACTTCTTAGCCACCAGGGGACCAGAGTCGGCTGAGCGCTGAAACTCAGCCTCTGGGGGAGGGGGCCCTGGAGAGAGTAACTGTCTCTGAACAGCTTTAGAGGAACCAAAACTGTCTTAAAGCGTTCATCTCTCTGCTTAGAATGAGTGGTAGAAACACAGTTCTTTACGGGTTGTACTGACAAAGCTTCCTGTACAGAGTGAGCAGGTGAAGATGGTGTTTGCATAGGTGGCAAAACAGTAGACTGAACAGATGATAACTGAGCTACTGGTGAGGCTAATGACTGAAGAGGTGACTGAGCTCTGCTGTTCAACCAAAAGGGTTGAACAGCAGACTGGGCAGGTAACAAAACTGCTGTCTGGGCTACAGGCTGGTCTAATGGCAAAGCTACAGGCTAGGCTACAGGCTGTGCTGTAGGCAGTGCTAATGGCTGAGTTAGTGACTGAGAAGAGACCTGAGCAGCTGGCTGAGCTGAAACCTGAGCGGCTGTCAGAAGTGATGTCTATACTGGGTGTGCCAACAGAGGTGGAGCAGGTGAAAAACAATCATTTAACTGTGAAGGAACCTCTGAAAAGGCAGTCCTTGTTATTTCATTCATAGGTGAAGCAGGGAAACTGGAGTAATCATTATCCTCCGTCACAAAACACACAGCCCCCGCATAAACAGTTCCAATGTCAAAAATAGTGGCAAAAGTGTCCTTTTCACCCACCACAGCCGGCCGCTTTGAAGTCCCGAAATCTGGTTGTGAGGTGACGCGCTGGCAGTGCAACTGCCACTTCCTCCTCGAAGACTGCTCTGATGGGCCGGGCAAAACATCGTCTGGGCTGGGTAGGAAAGCGGTAGCGGCTGGGGGGGTGCAGGTCAAGTGTGTTGAGGAGGAAGTCCTGTGGGAGTAGGTGACGTGAATCCAGTAGCCAGGAGAGCCACAGGTTAATCCCCCTCGAAATCGAGTCAATTAAATCCTCCCAGAGCTCCTCAAAAAATGCGCACACAGCGGAATATGCAGCAGCAGTCGTGTGGAGTTCTCAGAAAGGACCAAAAATGCACTTTATTATATGAGGTGAAAACAACAAAAGCAAAGATGGCGAGGACAGAACTAAAGCATAACCTAAACTGGGGAAAACTAAAGGCCAGACCTGAAGCCATAAGAACATGGGATGAAGAGCAGAGACGGCACGGAAATTCAGCTGACTCTGAGGTTGGTAGCAAGCCAGGTTTTTCGTGGCTGTGACTTTCTGGCCTCTCTTTGGTTCCCATTTGTCTGTGGGCTTCCCAGGTAATTGTAGCTGTCCTCAGTGTCTACAATATTGGCTTCTGGTAGTGCAATCCCACGGTTCTGACTACCTTACCTCTCTTTCTTACCATCCGACTACACTCGAGTCCAGATGACATTCTGATGTCATTACTGTATATCCTTGTGCTGTGGATCAGTAAATGATGTTTCAATCTCTCACTGACATACAGCTTAATGTCATTCATGTAGAGTTGGCGGCTGACGATTGCTCCGCAATCTTGTCGAGGATCTCACTGAGGCGGTTCAGTCCTAAGGAGAACAGCAGTGGGGACAGAGGATCTCCTTGGTAGCGACTTGATGGAGATTTGTGCTGTTGGCTTGAATTTGGTTTCTAGTGTTGTTTGCTACATCCTCATTGAATTCCTGATGAAGGCTCTAAGGGTCCTGTTGATCTTGTATATTTTTAGGCATTCTAGGATCCATTTGTGGAACACTGAATTTTTGGCTTTCACTGCACTTTTGCAGTGTCAGGCGACCAGTGGCCAGTGCTTGCTCATGTTTCACTCATTTGGTATTCTTGCCAATTCCTTTCTGTGCCTCACTCATGTATTGAGCAACTATAATGCCTGATAGGAGCTTCCATGTGGTACTGAGCCAGCTTATTGACCAGTAGTTGGATGGGACTGGTCTCTGAGGGTCCTTTGGGATCAAGAATGTCCGGCTTTCAGTTCAATGGCCATTCTTGGTATCTCTCATTGACTAATAGTCTCATTTGTCCTGGCAGACACTCATGGAGTGCAGTAAGCTTTGTCAGCCAGCCGGTGTAAATCATGTCAGGGCCTGGTGCTGTCTAACTCTTCATACTGGTGTTGTGAAAGTTTTCCATTTAATAAAGCCTGCAGACAAATGGAGAACGGTAGCTAACATCCTTTAATCAAAAAACACAAAAACCCAAGCTTAGTGAGAGCAGCCATCATTGCGGGGTAGTCAATCGGCAGAGTCTCTACTGAGCCCAGCATGACCCTGGGTTAAATACATCTTACAGGAACAAAAGGCAGTACACAGCTGTTTTCACACCTTTGGTCTTTCTCCCCAAAGAAAGTTTCACACTCTCTTGCTATCTCTTACAGTGGAGAAAAGACAAAAGGCTCCACTACCTGTGTCATGGGGTGTCAGTGTCCCCATTTCCTTACCAGACCCTCACCATCTGGCTAACTGCTTGAATAGGGTATGAGGCACTGCTAAAACAGTGACCTAAAAGCATTACTAATAAACAATTTAATCAATACATAGATGAAAGAAATGCTTGTGGCGGGGCGTGGCCTGCGGTGCCCTGCGGACGCACCTGCACGGCATCCGCCATCACGCCCGCCGTGTTAAAACATGGGGACTCAGGAGTTGGGGTGTGTGGTGTGATGTGAATAAAATAAAATTGGCTCTGAACGTTGCTCCGTGGTCCCGCCGTGCCTTATTCATGCCACATTGGTGCCGAAACCCAGGAGGCGGCACGGCGGGTCCGTATCGGAGCCAGGGAA